CTTTATATAGATATAGATAAAAAGTAGGGGAGAGGATAAATAGGAATTAGAGATAATTTAGGAGAGAAACCCTTTACTAAATTAGAGATAATTTAGGAGATAAATAGAAATTAGAGATAATTTAGAAGATAAATAGGAATTAGAGATAATTTTGGAGAAAGTGGGAGATAGTGTGGGAGGTAGTTTAGGAGTATTTTTAGGAGAAAAAAATATTTAGGTTATTGAGAAAGTGTTTCTCATTGGTTGTTTAAAAAATGATATGGAATTAAAAATAATAAAAAATTCAAAAAAAAAGGAAAATAGATAAATAGATTCTCTCAAAGACATGCTGACATGGCAGGACTGGTTTTAATATATAGTGATAATCTAAAAGAAGAAATCTGAAAAAAAATGAGAAATCAAGATGGGGATGGGCTACGCCATTAAAGGGGTGGGGTCCTGGGATATACCCTCATGAAATAATAACAATAATGATGATAATAATAATTAAAAACAGAAATTTATTTTATGTATGACTAAGCCTCTTTCAACTGCAGCTTTTCTATTGGGCTGAAACTATATCTGTGGCCCATATGGAGAAATGGAGCACTGTAAGATTTATACTTGGCCTAGTCATTAAACATGCAATTGAAACTAAGGCTATGTTTGGTTTGAAGGAAAATGTAGGGAAAGGTAGGGAAACCTTTACAAGTCTTGTATTGGTTTCCCTATCTTTTCCTTCCTTTCCTTACTTTTTCCTTCAAACCAAACATAGCCTAAGAGTATTCCATTTGGTTCTCAGTTAGAATCGGAATCAGAATGATTTATTCTGCTGTCTGTTTAGTTCAGACGGGAATTGGATCAGCTGGAATGGATTCTCATTCCCAAGGGAAGGGAAAAAATGGTCATTCCCTTAAATGAAGAAATGCCATTCCACCAAAAATAGGATTTGGATTCCTATTCTACCCAACAAATAGTTGAAATAAAAATGGACCATTCTGATTCCAATTCCATACCCCTATTCCTATAAACCAAATGGATCCTAAGTTGAGTTACACAAAATCTAGGACAGCCCCGAATTGACAAGACCTTAATGAATACTGGGTTTTCCTGACCAGTGTTGCAAAAGTTGAACATGACTTGATTGGTGAGTATGGGTATCCAATTACCACCTCTACCGACCATGGTAGGTAGGGGTGTCAATTGGACTGGATTTGGTTCAACCCGATCCAGTCCAATGTAGATCAGGTCCAATCCAATTCAATAAATAATTTGGATCATTTTGGACCAATCCAATTTAATGTTCAGATCATTCAATTTGTTTAAATTCATTTTAATTTAGATTGGTTTCAACCTAAACCCAGTCCTAACACCTGTATAAATTTTTATGGACGGACCAGGTCCAATCCAATATAAAAAATACTTTGGACGAGATTGATCCAATCCATTATATCTTTTTGATCCGTTCAAATTGATTTAGGACTAGATGGGGTCCAGTCAAAAGGATCTATTGACACCCTTAATGGTAGGTCTGGAAGCATAATAGATAGGACAGACGGCAAATCGGCAAAATTGTGGTTTCTCTTGGGGACTCTGTGTCCCGGAGTTCAGGCAAAACAAGTTATTATTCTTAAATCTTTATCGTAGAGAAGCAGAAGCACGAAACATGCAGGCATGTGCTACCTGAAGCCAAATGCTTGTATTGCAGCTGAGGAGGTGCCAAACCATAGTAGATAAGCTCATGATTCTTGATTCACAAACCGTGATTATTCATTGGTTGACCACTGCATGAGCGAAAATGCTGGATTTAACATGTAGTTGTCGCATTTACTTTGGACAATATATGTGAACCCAGTTTATCTCTGCTCAGCTGCTTCCATGACAAAAATGTAAAGGCAGCACATGCCATATTAACTCAATACCCTATAGAGAGAGGACTGCTAATTAAGTGTAAAATCGATTGATTTGATCAATGTTGATTATTAGATTTATAAAACTTTTTAGATCCGTTTGGTTTATATTTGGAATCGGAGTCGAAATTGGAATGGTCTATTTTTATAGTCTATTTTGGTTTAAACAGGAATAGAAACGAGAATTATATTCAATAGGAATGAGATTTCATTCCCAAGAGAGAAGTAGATTCCAACAGGAATGGAAATGAGATTCCAATTCCATCCAACCAGAATTGGAATAATCCTGCAAATCAAATGAGGCCTTAATTTCATGTAGATATCACATCAGTGATTAGTTAAACCAATCAGATTTATCGGTTTTTTTTTTTTTGAGCATTGGCCCCCAATTTAATTATTTTGTTTTGCAACAAAGACCCCCCTGTATTATGACTGTGAGACAAAGACTCCCTTCCAAAAAGGACGT